GAATACTACTCGTGTTGCACGCATCAGGAGTCAGTTATGTTGGGCTCTTTGCAGAGGGTGCTGGCTGGTTCTGTGATCTTCAGCTAAAGGGCGTGCATTCCTTCCTAAATTTGGCTTCACTTGGAAATAGGCGCATGGGAAGATGAACTCTAGGCCTGTTCGTCATCCACCTTATTCATAGAGGGCATACTTAAATTTCCTTCTGTTCGTGTGTATCCTCTAATGTGATACATGTCCTCTGTCTATCCAGTTTAAGTTGTGCCTTAATGGATGCTTGATACATACCTTTCTCTTAGAATTTCTGAAGCTTGCTGTATTTTTCTGTTTATTATTTTAAACTGTTAAAAATCGTAAGTTAGATTTGTATTAAAAAGATGTGCCATTATTTCTATGTAATCCTGCAACTATGAAATACAGGTATTGAAATTTCATATTTGTACACCATGAAGTAAGTTACCTTTCAGGTGTCTGCTGACCACTGAGTTCAGTAACAGCCAGAAAGAACAAAATAGAAATTCACTGAAGGATAAAAGAGTTACGTAGAACAACAGTTACCAAATTTCTTAGTGAGACGTCATTATTTTTTCTTACGCAAGACACAGTCAGCCCTCAGGGAATGTCATTGAATTATTCCCTGCCTGCTGAATGCAAGTGGAACTGGTTCCAGCAAAGTGAAGAAAGAAACAAAAACAAATTTCCAATTTTAATACAGGAAACTCCTTCCACCCCACCCCCCACCTCCCCGCGCTTAAAAATGTCCTGAATCTCTTGCCCATAGCTTAGCTTAATTAAAAAAAAAAAAGTTAAGAGTTCCCATAGGTCACTTTTGTTTTGGAGCTTGCTGCTTCTCTGCCCAGATTAAATAATAGGAATAGAAACCCCCTTTAAATTGAAAACTAACCAATTCTTCAAAGAAAGCATTGTTTCTGAAAGTGTGGCGATACCTAGCACTACATTGTACAAATAGAGTAGGGGTTTTGTGTGTTCATGCTGTCTGGTGATGTTTAAAAAAATGTCTCATGCAAATTCATCAAGTGCTTACCTGAGACAGTCTGTAAATGTGTAGTAAGAATTTTGTGTTATAAAGTAATACAATTCAAGACTGAGGAAGATACAGATTTAACTGATGTGTTATGTTTTTTATGCAAATTAAGATATAATTTACAATTGTCTATTTTGTGCTAAAGATTCTTGACTGAAGTTGTGTGGTGAGGAGGTAACTTGAGGACAAATGTAAATACATGCCAAAAGGGAATAGCCTAGCTACTTTGTCAGGCCTTAATGTATTGGCTCACTGCCAAACTCTTTCAAAATACCGTGACCTTCTCATGTGGAGCAAAATGTATCTGTCAGTAAAATATTTTTGTCTCAAAAATTCCCTACACAGTTTTTATTGTGAAACAATTCACTGTCTGTAAGAAACTCAGATAAATTGGTGACTGAAGAAGAAAAGATGATGTTTAGATTTTGACTGTCTTTGATATGCACTCAATACTCTGCATGTTTGGTGGTCCTTCACACATAAAACTTTCTTTGGATTGCATGTCTTGCAGCAGAATTGTGCTTTGTAATGTATTTTTTAGTCACTTGTGTATACGGCTGAGAACCTTTCTGAGTTTATTCAGTGAAGCCACAGTTTCATTATATTGTCATGTCATTAGCCGTGCTGAATTAAAGGATTCCTGTCCACTGCTTTGTGTTCCTATTTTTGTGGAAATCATCTGTTTGAATTCTGGATTAGTTCAGTAATCTGGTTTACAGTGCAGTCTCGCAAACAGCTGTCATCATAGCTATAGGGTGGAAGAGGGAGAGGTGATGAGGTGATGCGAGGGGCTGGAAGAGGTACGGGAGATGCTTAAGCAGACGTTGATGCTGATGCAGGCTCCGTTATGCTGCAGTACTGTCCTGGCTGAACTGATTGAGTTGCATACAGCTGAAACAAGCATGAGACACAGGAATGATCCCCTTTATTGTAATGGAGTGTTACACCTTAGCAGGTATTGTGTGTAGGTCTTATTGTTAATAATCTAATTCCTGTGAGTCCCTGGCAGAGTAAGGGCCCATTTTGCTGCTCTTCCACATAAAGTTGTACTAACTGACTCAAGATACTGCAGTATATAGTGGAAAAGTTACAAATTACAGGTAAGGTCAGTAATTGAATTTTGAATTCACTAGCATAGATGTTGCACTATAGGTCTTGGGGGGCATTGCCATTTCTTTTTCTGCAGAGAATGCTTATGTAGTCATCTTTTAATGACTAGAACCTAGAAAGGCGAATTACATTTTTACAAATGAATTAAAAATCACTACTTTTACTGCAAATCAAAATTCTAATTAAACAGCTGTGTAGTTTTATAACTTCACTTTCTCAGAACAAACACAGTTCTACATATATATTTGAAGGTCTGCTTCTAAATCATTGTGTGTACTAGTAGACTGCACAGTAGAGAGTGCACAGAAGAGGTGGATTTTAAACCATTAAACAAGCTTGCTTACAGGTTTTGTGAGTAAAATTGCTGAGAAACAAACTTGGTCATCAAACTGGATCGGGTCACAGTAGTTCTAGGGAACTAGAAAGAGCTACTTTCCTGTGTTCCAGGATGCAACCATAGTTTTAACTTTGCAATCTGATAATTTATGTTTTGTTGCTAAGATTACTGTGATATCATAAAGAGCTACAAGAAATTTTTTGTGCAACTATACTGCTGTCTTGAAACAAGATCTGAGGGGTATGAACTTCCATAGCAGGTTTCCCTTCTGTTCATCGCTTGTGATGCTTTCTACTCCTGCCTCCTCATGTTCTTAGTTCAAGATTGGTATTATCCAGTGTAACTGGACAGCTGAGGGTGTGGAATTTACTTTATCTTAAGAAGTTCACTTTTAATTAAAAGTTGACCTATAGAGAAGAGTCAGTGATTAATGATTTAAACAGAAAAGTAATCAGTAAGAATACTGATACAAGCATGTGGCAGTTGTCTTGTACAACAAGTAATAAGAAGGTACTTGGTTATTTTATTTTTAGTCAGTTTTATTAATATTTAAATTATATAATTCTAACATTTGCCTGTGATTTCTATTTGACAAATTTATTGTTAATAAACATTATAAAGCGTTATCAAAGTAAAACATTTCAATTGACCCAAATACTTTTTGTCTGTGTGTCAATGTTTAAATAAATGAAAAATGCCAGAACCATTAGTATCAGGATAAAAATTAATCTGAAAAGTTAATCTCACACAAAAAGAGTAAAGAAATAATACATATTTTCCAAGCTAACTATAAGAATGATCAGGAACAATTATTCAGACAATATCTTCGACTGGAAATTGTAAGAAAATTCATGCACTGTGTTTTCACAGTGTAGTTGCAAATGGAAAGCTACGGCATGGCTGTAATTTTTATAAATTTCTGCAATTATCTGACAGTTTCTGAAAATACGTAATTGTGTTTTTATTAGAAGATATTGGTCGTTATGTGAACACATCTATGGGGGTAATGGGATTCTTGTGGTACACAACTAGTATAATAACACTATTAGTTTAATCAAGCTCTTTAGTTTCAGGGCAGTTTTGTGCAGATAGTTGTGCACCATTTTAAGTAATATTCAGTAAAGATACTAGCTTGGTAACACTGGTAATTAGCATCTAAATGCTTTCATTTTTGTTTGTGTGGTTTTGTTTTTCATTTTCACTCTAGTATGCCAGTGTCGAGAAAGATGGTGAACATTACATGACCCCAGAAGATTTTGTGCAAAAATACCTAGGACTTCATACAGATCCGCGTTACAATCCTAAAACAGTGCAGCTGTTGGCTGGAGTGGCAGATCAAACAAAGGATGGGTGAGAATTTTGCTTTCTGTTAGAAGCTTGTAATGCACTGGTAAATGCGTGAGTGAATGAGTTTAGTAATTCCATCTTCTAAAATACAATATTGATTTTATTACACTTCAATCTTATTTAGATGAGATGTTTTTCTCAAATACGATAGACTATAAATTGGTGGAAATTGGGAGAAAACCCAGCATTAAACAGTGAAAAGTTCAATGCATTTTTTAAATTAAGATTTGTTTTAATGGAGTTTTTACAATTATTACAAACACAGAGGAAGTTGAACTGAAAAGAAGTTTAATGTAGTGTGATTGCCTTGGAAAAGTTTTTTTCCGTATACTCACATCCATGATTAGATATCATGTAGAGTCTTTAGGATCTGTAATTAAACATGGATATATGGAAAAGCTTTCTAATTTCTGTAGTGTGCAATTCAAATCAAACCGCTGAGGAGTTTTTTAAAGTGTGAGCTGTTAGGAAAAAGAGACACTAATGACTCTATGAAGGAAGAAGGTGTTTGCCTAATCAAGGTGAAGTCACACCACATAAAGCTGTTCCAGCTCTGTTTACAGATGACTTTACTTGCTTTCGGACAGTTCTCTGAAACTAGTTTACAAAATGTCCACTCCACTGAGGTAGTACCCTCTAACCCACTCTTCTTCAAATGAGCCTTTTCTCTTGCTTTATGTAGGCTTCTAGCATTGGCCTGGATTGTAGTAGGAGATGTGGACATTGTTAAAGTGAAAAGGTTAAGATGGTTCAGAGAAGAGGTCAAGAATGCAGGAGGGCATGAGTATTTTGGAGAGAAAAGAGAAAGTTGCTATTAGAATAGCATACAATACATTTGTAGATATATAGATGTAACATATTTTAAATTTGAAAGCCCCTTGACTTCCTTGGATTTGTGAGTCTAAATCTGACCTGTGACATCACTTAAAAGTTTTTATTTTCCTGTGTTCTGCTTTAGAATATTTTATTAGTTTGCATAATATCCTGAGCAGCTTGCACAATATCTGTGCTTTACAAATAAAATTGTATATGCTTTGTACATTTTACACTAAACAAATGTAGGATCTCCTGTTTGATGTAATGTTACATGATTTTATTTTATGAAGCTGCGGCATTTTGATAAATCATTTGATATATACATACATTTGATAAATCCAAATAACCTGTCTCTGTTTGCAATACATGGCTGCAGTTTGTTGCATTGTTATGGATTAAAAATGCTATTTTATATGTATCTGTTGAAATAATAGTCTAATTGGTGACTGGTAAACTAACATGTGGAGTGTCTTCTTTCTCTGAAAGCTGTCAAGTTATCTTTTACAGTGTGTGTTTCTTCAGTAAATGTTCTGTAAAAGGATCTTTCTTACATTAAGAAATCAATAATTTGTTTTATTGGTACAACAGAACTTTACATTCAGGCATCACTTTTTTTTCCCTTTCTCCATGAATATAAGGGGTTTTTGTTTTGCTGTATTTTTTAATCTGGGTAATGTTTGAAGTGAGGTAATCAAATATGGGTAAGTGTGCTTTGTCTACTTCTGTATGGGAGCAGTGGAAATGGGAATTATTTCCATATGGTCTGCAATACAAAATGTTTTTATGTCTGAATACCTGTTGATACTTGTCTGAAACTCATTTTCCTAAGTGTTTTAATCTATATTTGTCTCTAATCTGTATTTCATGTGAAGAATTTGTTATACCCCCATAATCATTATTGGATTATTTATTTCTGCATTCACATTCTTCCTTTTGTAGTGAGCTGTAACACATAAAAATACAGGGTCTAATAACTATATCATCTGCACGGAGAGTTTAGTCTGTAGCATGAATAATTATTGTAATCTTCAACTGAATTCTGGAATACATTACTTCTTTCCAAGGACTTAAAGTTACTTTATGAAGTCCAAGGAAGTATTAGTAGTCCTATTCCAAACAGACATTTGTAAATGAAATGACAGTCCAAAGGCACACAGTAAGTCCTTGAGAAGCTTTGGGTTCTGTTACGAAATTTCATTCCTGTATCTGCTATCATATTCTCTTAGCCCTGCTTGCCCTTCAAATAAATACACAATGTGTTTTTGGTAACATTTCTTTGTTAATAATTTTTTATTTAATTTAGTTTTAAGTTTGGCACTTTAGGAAAAAAGCGCATTTTGGAGCTGGCTGTCTGTAGACATATGTTTAAAAGAATGTATCTTTACTTTTTCCTGATGGTAACTTGATTCTTACTTAACTGTTCCAGAGTATTATTGCCTGCTCCTATTACTGCAGTACAAGGCTGTTGTGTTTCAGTGGAACTCTGTTAGGTAGTCCTTAAAACTGATGACTCTTCACTTTCAAAGTGTTTCTTCCTCATTGTTACAAATGCGTGTTCTGAGAAATTAATGTGATGAGGTCTAGATTAGAACTTGGCCCGAACTGCCTTGTCTGCTATCTGTTCAGTACAACGGGATTTTACTGATGCTGTAGGTAAGCATTCCTATGTCATCAGACTGCAGGCACTATTTTTGAAATTAGGATACATAGCCTCTCTGAATAATGTACTTACATATGTCTGCTAAAACCAGGTTCCTAATTACATAAGTCAATTAACATTAGTGGGTGTTGCAGTTTTAAAATGGATGATGTTTTTCTCCTTTCAAACCTTCAAAATTTCACTGTAGTCATTCAAAATGCTTCATTTTAATTGCTTATTTCTGGCTACTCTGCTTATCAGCATATCATTCTTAATATCCGGAGATGTGTTCTTCTTAAGCTAAGACCCGAAGAACGAGTTGATGTTTCACATAATGGAGAGTCAACAGAGCTATACATAATGCCTGAAAGCTATGTTGTGTGGGAAAAAAGAGCAAAGAGTTGTAGTGGGCAAAAAGGAAAGACAGAGAATATTTGTAAACACATGTCTTGCTTTGTCTGCCCAATTTGAAGAGTAACAGTACGAGGAAATAAGAGGAAAGGAAATTTTTTAAAATGTTACAGATAAAATGGAAGGTGAGTGATTTGGTGTTGTTACGGACTCTGTAATGCAGCAGGTCCTCTGAGTGATGCTTCAGCAGCGACTGGGCGCGAAGCTCCATCATTCTGTTTAATCCAGCTCCTGTTATCTCCACCCTAATGGGTAATGGAGGATCACAGGGGATATCACTGCTCTTAGGCATTGCGAATTGAATATATGGGAAGGAAATTGAACGTGTCTGTCTCCTTTTGCTGTAGGCACTGTTAAAGTGAGACCTCTGAAGACAGCTTCTTTCAGGTTCAGGCCTCTACGAATGCATTCTACAGAGATCGTCACTCGATTCTGTCAGTTGTAAAGCTTCCTGGTTAGGAATTCATTTTTATGTCAGGTTTCTTAAGCTTGTATGTGAGGTATATTTTGAAATGATAGTATTTATAATTATTTTAAAGGTTATTATGTTTCTCTGATACTAAACCCCTATTTATCAAGATCGTCCTTTGGATGGAATTGACTGCATCTGAAGAACCATTCTCACATCTCTGATTTTTGTGGCTAAAGTGCGACAAATTAATGCTATAATTCTATATTTGCCGTGTCTTAATTACTTTCAAAATCACTACATTTTTTCCTGTATTTTGTGTATAATACCTATATGCAACAATGTGAATATATGTAATGTTGTTTAAAGTATCTCAGTTCTGCTTTATGTGTACTTTGACAGAGAAGGACTAGATAAACTAATGAATAGTGTGGCTTGATTTTTTTTTTCCTGTAATGAACAGAATTTGCACTTGGCTCTTCAGCAGTAAGCCGTACATGTGTGAAGTAATCACTATGACCTAATGATCTCCTATGAAGAGTACTAAATTCAGATCAATTATGTACATTTCCTAGGAAAATGTACCATCTACAGTGATATTCTGTTTCAGCAGATGCTGTTAAAACATAGTAATTTTTTAAATTAAAAAATGTAATTAAAAGTCTTATTCCCATTGAGAATTTATTTGATGCTAAAATAGATATCTCATCATTTATTTCTATAAACTGAGCTCAGGAACTTGTAACTGGATGGAATATCCCAAGTCATCAAGTGATGTTTACAAGGATGAAAACACGAAGTGATTTTAATAAACTGAGTTTGCTGTTGAAACCTAAGGCTTTTGCTTGCAGTATTCTGGAAAGGCCGTAGTACATGTCCGCTCTAAATATCTTTACGGATATGTGCTTTTGCTGTTGTGCCAACATTATCCTTTACCTTCTCCTGGCTTAGGGCTTAACTTTCTGCAGCTGTTGTTACATACAGTATTAGGATCCCTTCTAAATGTTTTTACTGTTAGTCAGAATAAGCTGAGTTCCTCAAGAAAAGTTTTTTATGATTATCCTAAGAAGTTATCTGTGCATACATTCAAGTCTGAATTTATATGTGTTGAACACAAGGACTTGGATTTCTCTGCAGCGTTCCAGAGATGTGCTGGGAACCCCTTCTGGGGATACCGCTGCTTCCCTATCTCACATACAGACAGCTTTCCTAATGCATCCTCAGTTGCGTTTTTCTATATGGTGACTGTCTTGCATACACAGGTCCGACTCTTGTGATCTGCTGTTTCACTCAAATCCTTCCCTGCCTTGGTCATGTCTAGCTGTCCTTATGTCCAAATATTCTTACAGTTTATTTCTTTCTTTCTTGTCCTCATGTACATGACTTTGCCATTCATGTTATGTTTGAAGTGTAATATTTTTTCTATATACATTGTAAAGTATAACTTTTTCTGTACCTGTTTGTTTTCTATGAATGTTACATGTTGTTTAAAAAAAATACATATATTGTATAGTATATTCCTATACTTGCATTAAAGTATCTTTTCTTAGTAGAAATATATATATAAATTAATAAAATAATGACAGCCCTGTAAATTTCAGGGTGGTAGAATTTCTGTGGGTGTTTTATGTCTTAATTTTTAAGTGCTGTCTGCTTACATTTATAATTACCAGTTAATAAATTGTAGGTATCCACTGAGAATTGATTATATTTTGTTATTGATAGATATGAAGAATTCAGTCCGTTTATAGAGGAAGAGACTGAGTTGCATAAAGGTTAAGTAACTATTTCAATGTAACAAATAATTTTTCAGTTTCTAGTGTAGAGTCGTAACTTTTTTATGTTAGAATTTTATTTTAATGGTTGGATCATACAGTTTTCTAGAGCATCAAACAAAATATCATTGCTATTGTGAATAATTTTTTGAAATCTTTACAACTTCTGTTTTTTCCTTTGTAGGTTGATTTCCTATCAAGAATTTTTGGCATTTGAATCTGTTTTGTGTACTCCAGATGCAATATTCATTGTTGCTTTTCAGTTGTTTGACAAGAGTGGCAATGGAGAAGTAACATTTGGTAAGAATATCTAAAGAAAAACAGTTTAAGAAAGTGATTATGATAGTATAAATCGTAATAATGGTTCATCACCATTGGTGTAGAGAAATGCATATTGTGCAGTACTGTACTGATTTCCTAACAGGATGCATGAGTAAAACATTTATTTCTTTCAAGAGATAGAAGCTTAAGAAATATATAGAAACAAAGTATATTTTTCTCTCTCTTCTTGAATCAAGAGTTTTCATGTTCCTGAAGTAGTTAGTACAATGCTGTTTTGTTCAGTGTCATTCTAATTAAAATTCTGTGTCATGGACTTTGAACTTCTTAAATAATGAGGGATTTTTAAAATATCTTTCAATATAGAAATGAAGGAGGTCTAAATTCCTAGTTAAGTGTTCCTTTTCTTGAGGAGCAAATCTGATGTTACGAGTGTAACTTCGAACTAGATCATATATTTGAAAAAATAGGAAGAAAATATGGCCTTCAAGTTTTGTTACCTTTTTTTTTTCCTAATCACATAAATTAGTAATTGGACAAAATCCTTTAGGCTAACTATACTGCTTTATGATGTTGCTAAATAACTGCTATTGACATTGCAGTTCAAGGACTAGGTTTTCTTTTTAAAGCTCTGTGTGTGTTTATGAAAATTAGATAAATAAATGCTAAGAATTTTAATGAAATGGAAAGAGAATTAAATGTTATTTCTATCCAAAAGAATAAAGCTCTCAATAAAGCAAATACAAACTATGTTTGGGTTTGTAACCACTTGATTTTTGTACTATTTCATTCTTATGTGTTGGAAAAAAAATGCAAGGGTCTTTTTGTGGAAACAAACTGCTTGACTTGCCATGTCTGTTATATTACACTGTTAACTGAAGGGTCAAATACTAAGCAATTTGGATACACAACATCTTGAAAAGAAAATCTTTTAGAACTTAAGTAAAGGTGAAGTCAGTAAATGCAGTCATTAGGAAGTAGGCAAACTACTACAATCAGTGTGACCAAGTTAATGATGGTATATTTAATAATGTCACAAAATGGTAATATGCACTTTGTAGCTCTCACGAACACACCTGAAATAGCTGGTTCCGTAAATGAACAGAAAGTAATTTCAGATTGTATACAGATTCCTCAATCAGACCGAGGATTGTTATTTTTATGAGCACATCATTATATCAAAGGCTAAAAGAACAATACAAACAAAACAAGACAAGCTGTAAAACAGAAAATGGCATGATTTTTTCTGTATCTTTCTTGCTGAATTTTTTTTTTATAAGGCTGATAAATCTTGAATAGGAAACTCTTCAGGGAATTTAAAATTTATGATTTGTTTCTTGTTTTTACAAAATTAGTTATATTGTGATTATTACTATATTTAACGGTATGTTGTGATATGTCAGTGGTACATATTTGTGTGCTGCAGTTCCCACATTTACTGCTGCTTTTTTTGCCTTTTTTTGCTGTGTCGTTTGTAACATGGGCTAGTTATTTTTACTTCATAGGCATATCATACAAATCAATGCGTGTAGGAAAAATGTGAATGATGATACATGACAGGTTCAGAATTTGGTAACTGCAGTCAATTTCCAAGTCGGTCTTGTGGCCTGCAGAGACTGTTTGATAAATGAGTTTTGCACTCTTTCATTTTCACACCACATGAACAGCAAGCCACAGAGTTTAGTTTCATACAAAACCAGGAGAATATATGAAATCAGGTCTTAAAAGTGGAAAGTTGTAATAAATTATTAGTAATATACTGAAAAGGAGTAAGTTTAGCCAATCGTGTGAGAAATGCTATCAGACAAGTCAGTGCTCTTTTATGAGTGTGTAATGTATCCAGTCTGCAGATAAACCATGTTGGTCATGGGAGCAAACATTAGTCAAGATTTTCTAGCTTGGATGCAACGCTGTGTGGATGTGATTGCATTGATTCCAAAGCTAATTCAAGCCAGTAAGTCTTGCTAGAAGTGACATGGATTTACTGAGGTTTTTCTGCACTGTGCATCTGGGACAAGGGGTGGAGGTGCTGGAGAGTGGAACACACGATCAACTTGGGTCTGGTAGGCCAGTAACTTGAACCCAACACTGGCTTTGCTGCATGTGAGATAATGTCTCAAAGTCATTTGGGTGTGACTGTATGGCATTTTCAAAAGATACCCTGATCTACTTAAATTTTCAGTTATCTGGAGAAAGTTAAGTGTACTTGTTGATTTTTAGAGCTGGCTCTGTATCTGAAAGCAAGTTGCTCCAGTTGGGTTCACCTCTCCTATTTAGGATTTATTTAGTGCCATGGACTCGAACCACTTGAGCACTTCACCTGCTTGCAGTCCTCTTTAGCTTTAATCTGCCACTGGTCTCTTAGAAAGTTTAGCTTCCAACTCTCCAATGAGGAAACTATTAATTAAATTGTATTACAGAAGAACCTCTGCCTCGTGAATTGAGAAATGGAAGAGGACAAAGAGTTTATGATTCTTTAGAAACTATTTGGGAGAAATACGTGTTGGCTATGCTGTGCTAATCAATGCCTTTGGTTTTGTCTTTGTGCAATATCACATGTTAATTGGGGTTGTTGAAACACAAAGCCTTCTGTCACTTCAGTGTCATCTACTTTCTTACTGCTTTGGGACATTTTTCCAGGAGTTTTGGACATCCAGAAATGCCATATGAATGACTGCCATAAATGTGCATATAGTATGCTGCAGTATTTCTACAGTAGGTCCATTGCAAGAACATGGAATTGGACCTGCTTTGTATGAGCAAACCATACAGCATGCTCAGTGCTTTTTACATGTTTCAGCTGCACTGGACTTGCTGTCAGCTTCGTGAATAAAAAGCAATAAAATGACTATTTTAATAACGCATTGATACCCATTGATACAACTGACAGTGTAGTTTAAATGACTTTTTAATTATGGAGAAATAGAAAAAAAGCATTTGCTTTCCTGATCCAATGCTTGTACGTCTTCATAAATGGTTCCCAGGTGAATATTTTATAGGAAATGTGTTGCTGATGAGCCCTTACAATATAGCTTTAACCATAAGGTATTTAAAAAGTAACAGCTAAAGCTGATAAAGTGATTTATTTTTCATGCATTGTCTTTCTTATTATCTAATGTGGTAGATAACTTAGATCTAATTAGATCTAAGGGGTTCTGTCTCTGGCCAGAGAAGACTGACAACCACTTTGCTTTTTTGATCACGGGATGTAACTGACTAAGCTACTTAACAGGAGTGAAATATTTAAAAACACTCCATAAAATTAGAGCTATATACTAAGAAAGCTTCTTTTTTGTTGCTATTTTGTGCAGCTCTTGTGACCTGAATTCAGGTTAAAGCAAACCTGAACATTAAATCTGCTCGAGCTGTTTGGTTTGCTTCGATGTTGAAGCAGATAATCCTTACTGTGGTTAAAAGGTGAAGTCTGTGACTACTTCTGAAACTTCTCTCCAAAATAAGTTGTCTAGCTGGAAGTAAAAGGATTCTTTGTAATTTATCCATTTGGCAAACCGTACAGTGATCTGGACTGTAACACTTCTAATTGGAATGTACAATTTCAAGGCTTTTTCCAGCTGTTCTTCCTTGTAGAGTTACCACAAAGAAAGCCATTCTCTGATAAACTGGAGAATTTCAGAGAAACTTTTTTTAGTTAAATACCCATACTGGTATGGATAGGAAGATAGAGCTAAAGTAATGAGATTTTGCAGCGATTTTACTGCCTCCATTTTCGTGATTCTTCAGAATTTTTTACATTATTTAGGAGATAATTGGAAAAATTTATGGAACTGAACATAAGGCTTTAAAAAACATCCTGCAGCAAAAAATATTAAAAATATTTTGCAGAGTATAATGGCTTCTTCTTTAAAGGCAGTGGGGGGAGTAAGCAACGCAACTATGTGAAAATTACCATGCTATCGGTGAACTGAAATAATAAACAACGTAATAGCTTCAGAAGTTGGGTATACAGTGATACAGAGATCTTGTCCATCTATTTTCTTAAACAAATTTTAATATAGGAGAGAATGTTCAGATTTCCCTTAATGAGGACATAGAGTTTGAGAACACTGGAAGAAGGTGAGTGTGAAGAAGAGAAAGGAGTTGAATTTATGTCGTTATAGTTCTTTGCTTTTGAGTATTATTTTTTAGGAAACACAGATCACTCCTGGTACTCATTCCTCCACCATTTCCAACAGAGCAATTGGATTGAAAGTGCTAGGATTTGGATTTAATCTTAAGAATTCTGCTTTATAAAATACTGTTTTCAACCATAAAGGCTGGAAACCTTTTAAAATGTAAACAGAAAAAAATCTCATACGGCTACAGATCTGAGGATATAAGAAAAACACCATGTTTTTATCATGTGTGCGGTAAACTAGAACTGCTGTTTTTCTTGGCTTCCGGTAGCCATACATTAGTTGCCTGTTTTCACGATGTCTTTGGCTTAACACATGCAGATAATGTAGGAAACATCACTGTATGTTATGACTTACTTTTGTCCTCATGTTTTTCTGGGTTTTTTGGTTTTTTTCCTGTTGTACGATTCTTTCAGGATTAAACCATAGTTTTAATCACTTGTGAGCTGTGCAGGATGGGAGTCCCTCCTTATTTTTTATAGTAATAATATAGTATTAAGTTCAAAACCATAGTTCAGCGAGAGGTAACAGGAAAGGAGAACACCACATTAAAATTATATATATTGACAATTTGTTGTTACAGCTGTCACTAATCTTAAATCACTAATTCTTTAAAAATAAGAATAGAAATGCAATGTAATTATTTCTACTTTAGCTTTCTCGCTTTTCCTGCCACTTTTAATTTTGCTCTCACATCAAAGTAATTATTGTATTATTTACATTTGGATCACTCTTAATAGACTGCTGTTGCACCAGGTGCTACAGAAAAAGTCTTTTTGCCTTTAACTATGATTTTGAATTTTATGCTTGAAAGTGAAAATACGTAAAATTTGCTGTTAGCAGAAATAGTGAAAAATAGCAACATCAAATATATTAAAATGCATTATGTACATTAAGGCTGAAATATGTACAAGTGGGACTGTAGGTGACTGAGTAGACAGATGTAAAAAAAAACCTCAACCTATTAGACAACAAACCTTTAGCATACTTACGCTGGTACTTAAAGCTATCACATTTACATTTTTGTGTCTCTAACAAGCATGTTTGTTGTTCCATCACTGGTGAGAAGAAATGGCAAACTTTGTTAACAGGTTGATGGCACTGGAGTTGTGCGAGGTTTCCACTCTGCTTCTTGGGCAACTGATAAGTCAAAATAAGTAATAGGTACTACCTCAAGGCTTACTTGGGTTACTAAGCTCATCCCTGCCATTGTCCATCAAAAAGGCGTCATAATGTTTATAAGTTATTCTTCCTCCTATGACATTCAGTATTGCCTCAAAACTTTGCTTTTCTTGTATCATTTTTCTGAGCCCGATAAGTAATGGTGTTTGATGGAGGTTGAGCCAGTCATGTATATGCTGCCTGCAGATGGCTGCTCCAGGCATCTATAATTTTTTTAAAATGATTGGGTGGGGAAATTCTGAAGCAATCTTGAGAGAATGTGTGTTGCCTTAGAGGTAATGTACTAGTGCACTAGAGTAGTAGGTTTATTGTTCCTGGGGCTGATGGTAAGTTGAGTATGTCATCAGGATACTGACTTGTATGCCTATCTGAGAAGAAAATGCATTGCTATAAGCCTGGAAAGAAAGTTATCAGCTCAGTAGGAAAGAATTCCACTGCAGAAAGGTGAGCAAAGAGTAGGAGAAGACATTAGTAAATGAGCAACACGTATTGGCAGGGACAATGAATGCATTCTATAAAATGTCATACTAAAATGAAAGGGTTGAAAAATAATTTGCTGTTTGCCCCCTGCAGAATAGCTCTGTTGGAAATTTGAAGTACATGTAGTTTATCTTAATTTAGAAGCATTACTGGGTTTTGACAGAGGGAGATAAAAAAAAAAAGGGGGCAAAAAACCCCAGCATCTGTACTTTAATGTTACCTGTTTTCTGTGTTGTCAGTGCTTTGCTTCTGCTGTGAAAAAAATAAATTATTTGATCGTAATTCAAAGTGGTGAAAGTGTAGGTGTTCGTAATTCAAAGTGGTGAAAATGTAGGTGATGATCACATTATGTATAATTTCCGAAATGTGATTGTCCGTTTGCTGCTCCTCATCACACGAGTTGTTAGTTGTGGTGATGGTTATTTCCTTTAATATAAGAGAATAGCCAACAAAATTGCATTAAAAAAGTATTCTTGATATATTGTGAAGAAAGCATCACTGCTTGGGTGGAAGTAGTAAATTTTAGTGCTTATCTAGAGACATTTGAGAATCCCAAATGTCTTTGGAAAATTGTATTTAGAGTTTCAGTGGCTTTAACTGTGTCAGTTACTCACAACAGGTACACGGTTTTGCTCCTGTACCCCAAATGTTTCAAAACAAAGCCAACATGGAATTAATTAAGCCTTAGGTATGACAGCATATTCTTAAATGCAGACGACTGTAATACATGTAGTATACATTACTGATTGTGAGTGATTGCCTGGGGAAGAAAAATGGGTAAGGCACCTCAGTTTTCAGAGAAGCAGCAGGCTAATCTGGAGATCATTTTTTAAAGCTAGTTAGCCACTACTGGGTTTCTTCAAGTACCAATACACTCAACTACTGAATATAAATTTATTAATTCATTTACCAGTATTATGTGCTGAAGAATCTTGACTTGTGATGTGTTAACGACTAGTTGTAAATGTTTTTAAGAAGGAAGAATCGATAGCATAGGAAACCAATTCTTGGTAGTTTAGGTAGCATACAATTAAATGCTTGAATGAGAGTTATGAAAAGGCTAGGAGTTTAAGTTTCATTAAAAATAATTGGAAGATTTGTTTACATGAGCATATATGAATAATTTCTTATATGAAAAAGGTGAGCCTTTTTTTGAACCTTTCTCTAAGGTTAAAAGAAGTAATCATTGGAAACAGTTGAAATACAATTTAAATTTTCTGGCTGCTTCAGCATCTTCTTTCCTAAGTTTTCATTAGGAGAACTCAGTGTATATTAGAATTCAGTTTGACAGATGTGTCAGTAGTCACTAGTTGGCACCCTGTTTGTACATTAGTAGCCGAGGCAATAGATGTGATTACGCAGGCCTGACTTCGGTTCCGTTCCCAGTTCCCAGCTCAGTAGTGAGCTGCACTGAGAGCTGCGCTGATCTGTTTGTGTTTGTGGTGCATGAAGACACTAGGTTGGTCAGAAGCTGCAGTGAATCGGTGGTAGGTGAGGAATTTATATTTACCTCTCCTGTTTCCTGGATCTCTAGCAATGATGAATAAATCTACTACAGACAAAACTTTCAATTGAAATATGGCAAAATAAAATAGTTTAGCGCTATGTGTTGGGTGCTTTATCTCTCATTTGCTTAACCCTCACCTTGCATATTGATACCGGTGAATCGAGAAGAGTGGACAGTTACAAGTACTCAGGGTAGTTTTTTAAGTTTCTTGTTTACCTGAGCAACTCCTTTAGCATACCTTGCAGTGGCAACTGCAGTTTAAATTGCAGGTTTTTGGCTATAGTCTGTGTTCAACCTGTAAGTAAGGGCTAAATTACAGTTAAATCACTTACTAGCTATAATCTGCCTTTGAATATGTGATCTCAGAACAACTGAATCTAGCCAAGGGGTCCTACTTTGTATGTCACCGTTCTGAGACAGATTCGTTCTGGACATTCCCCTTCCCTTCCTCACTGAAAAGATAAAACCATACAATAAGTTGCCTAGATTTGATCTAGAACTAGTAGAATGGCTATAGAATTGAAAGGATGAGTGAATCAAGTAGTCCTTTAGCCGAGAGAAAGCAACACATTTATTCCAAGTAAATAGCTCTTGGTGGAGTTATCAAATGATACTAAAGTCGTTCTCATTGCATTTCGTCTGTTAGCAGAGCTGTTTAACCATATGAAATAAGAGATCTATTTTCAGTTGAAATATTTTGTACTTTGTTATAAATTTAAGCTATGTGCCACATTTCATTTTGGTTGTTAGGAAGTTCTGGGTTAGTTGATAAGAACAAATCAATTCAGATAATTTGAGGTAGATTTTGAAAAGTGTTCATGTGGTATGGATAGATGTCAAGTTACACTGTTTATGTGGTTAGATAATCTGCACAAAAAAAGCAGGCTTGTTTTGCAGCATGGCAATGCTGTATATGAATAAGGCATGCTTTTTTTTCAGATGAGGTTTTTGACTGAATTCAGATAATACATTTGGCATTGAGATTTCAGTTGTAGAGTATACATACAGAGAATTCCATATTCTGAAATGACATTTCTTTTTCTTCATTTAAAAGAGGACATCTCTATCTTCACGTATCTTAAAACATTTTAATAACTGAGACTACCAATTATGTTTTATGGGATTTGATTTTTGTGCTAAGGCCTTATCAAAAGCTTTTAATAAGGTGCTTTCTGCTGAGTTAATGATATGTTTTAGATGGCATTTCTTATACCTATCTTCAATAGACATATTCAGACAGTGTGATTGTAATAATCAAGTTTCAATCAAACCATACTTAGTATGACAAATATTGTGTGAGATTGTAATTCAGGTATTCGTGCTCTTGATAAAGGGCTTAATTTGACTCCTAGCAGAGACTGAGACCCACTATTGATTTTTATATCAGAATGCAAAATAGTTCTTATTTGTCATGTATGAGGGAAATTGCTTCTTAATTAAAACTAAATAAAACACTCACTCCAAGGTTTTATGCAGTAATACAAAAAGTATCATGTTGTGTTGCAAATGTGTCCTTATACAGGTCTGTAAAGGTTTGGTTAGCAATCACTCTTAACAAACTAAACCACTGCTTAAACAGCTGCTTAAAACATCATTTGCTTGTATCCTTCCTGAAATGTTTGTAGATTTACTGTGCCCCAAAGCTCACTTGTTGTTTTTCCCTCTCTCAAGCAAATGTCAAAGAAATATTTGAACAAACTATTATTCATCTTCAAATCCCCTTCAACTGGGACTGTGAGTTCATTCGACTGCATTTTGGACATAACAGGAAGAAGCATCTTAACTATTCAGAGTTCACTCAGTTTCTTCAGGTCAGTTATTAACCCTCTTCCATCCAAAGCAGAACTGAAATTCATTTTCACCTCTAATAATACACTAATACCATTACAAATTCTGAGCTTATTCTGGTAGTGATAATCATTGTCTGATACTAATCCTGAACAGTTATGATGAACTGTTATTTCTCCATACCAGTTCTGTAAGCAGTGTGTACTCATGCTTTAACTTGAATACCGTCCTTTAAGAGAATGGGACTAAATATACTGTTTATGAAATTAACTATTTTACTGATTGTTGTTAGACTGGACTGGGGGTCCGCTATTTCTGTTACAGGAATTTGATAGCAAAACTAACCTCTGCCAAAGAAAGATTGCATCCTCAATATCCTCAATACATCCAGTTATTATTAGCCATATAACCTCCCATATAAAGGTTTTAGCTTCTTTAACTTTTTTTTGTTTTGTTTTATAAATGTTATCCTAATACTTACCCTTTTTTACATCTCACTGGCATGCCTGCTATTGCACATATATTGAGAGTTTGGTCTTAAATGCAGCCAGCTTTGCAGGAGGCAAATCTGCCTTCCTGAGATGTTGCTGAAGCACCCTCTAGGGATCAGGCGTTAAAGGATCTCACTCCTAGAACTGGACTTTGCCAAGCCAAAAAGTTAAAAACCTATTATGAATTGAATATTACACGGAAAGAAAGTAAAGGAAGACATCAGTTATAAAGGATGGAGGAAGAGGAAAGTAGGAGAAATGTACATTATAATTAATGAGAAAGGAGTTTGTGAAATTGTAGGTGATTGCGCTGAATTCCATAAATCAACAGGTAGTGATCGCCTCATGATATTACTTACAGTTTTCTGTCTAGCTGACCTGAAGAAAAATAGATTATGCACATCCAGAGCTGGCCTTTAGTACAAAAATAGTTTTGGACATACTGTCTGAAAAGTATGGAGTGATAGATGTGCTTTGATATGATCTGCGATTACTGTCCAGGATAAATACAGATCTAGAGCACATTCTAGAAAAACACGTCTAACTAGATAGGACTTGAAGTCTATAATGTAGATTGAGATCCTGGTGTTTGGCACAGTCTTTTGAGGCTGCAGTATAACTTGATGTTACTTTCAAGGAATAAACTCTGTCCTGCGTTTGATACTGCAAATTTTAAGTGATCCCAGGCTGAATTTGGGACACTAGTGCAGAAAAAAGAATAGGTTGCTAGTGAGAAGAAACTTTATGTTGGGAACCCAGAGCAAAGTAAGAAATACCCGTTTAATTTTTATTTTTATTGTTCCAAGATACCGTCATGTAAGATACAGTAACCTCGTACTGTCATCATATAATAAAAACCCTCAGTAGTGAACAGTAGTATGGACTGCAGTAATTTCAATATGTACACAAGTTGGATATTGCTTTCCCTCCTTTTACATCAGGCTGTTTTTGTTATTTGGTCTAACAGCATCTTGTGGGGTTTGGGACTTGGATCAGAGCAGGCTTGTTGCACCGTGATCTAGAAAACCTTGATCTTGAGGTTATAAGACTTGAGAAATTACTGTAAAGGTGATACAAGCTAGATTGTTTGCCCTTTTCTTATTGTCTGTCAGAACGTGGTTATTATTTTAGCTGCTTCTAGAGGTCTGAATGACAGCTGAATATGCTTTATTGTTTGCTTGAATAGAAGGAAACAACTTTTTCTGGACATAGAATTTACAACCATCATTATTATCTTGAGGTTAGGTTACTGCAGTGTGTTTTATATGAAGGTTTTTATGGATTGTATAGGAGTTTTAAATTGCCTGAAATGAGTGACCATTTCTGACATTATGGGAGGTAGCTGTTGGGGGCAATCTATATTATACAATTTTCACTGTCCTCCTGTTTATTTTCAAGTACTTTTCAATGACTTAGTTTATAATAGCCCAGCTGTATTTCATCTTCGATGTGTAAGAGATCAGCTCACTTTGAGTCTTTAAGATCAGTACCAGAAGTTTCTCTAGCAGTGAAGTATTTAATAAAGGGTTAGATAGCAGACAGGACATGGGTATGTGAAGTTTATTTCTCAAATAATTTAGTGAAAGTGTGTATTTCCTTACAGTTGAATTGAGGCTTTTCTTTGACAGAGGAATGAATCTGTGGATAGAATCAGTACGCAGACTTCCTGTTTTAGCTGAGCTGGCCTTTAAGTTTAAACTGCAGTTGTGCTATGGTCTACACACACAAGTATATTGAGGCATGCTGTCAGAATACGAAATTAGTGAAAGTTTTGTGAACAGTGAGTTACAGAATTTGCTTCTAATCTGCTATTTCTGAATCTTTGTTTTAGGAGCTGCAGTCAGAACACGCAAGACAAGCCTTTGCACTGAAGGACAAAAATAAAAGTGGTATGATAACTGGGCTGGACTTCAGTGACATCATGGTTACCCTTCGCTCACATATGCTAACTCCATTTGTGGAAGAAAATTTAGTTTCAGTAAGTGTAGAGAAAAGTGCCTTGAGTTCAGCATTTAATAGCTGTAATGTTTTAAGATGTTACTGCTTCTCTGTCACTTTGTCTTCTCCTACCTGTTTATCACTGCCTTGGTGCTAGAGATTATCACCTTCATAACAAAGTGGGCAGGGTGAAACACGGCAGTGCTGCTTGGCTGCAGTAGTGGAGAAGTTTGGCAGTCCAGTTTGCATGCTTAAAGTACTGCTGGGAACAGTTTTGAGCGAGTCTACTGTACTTTCCACTAAAGCAGAGCAAACTGCACTTGGCACAGAAAGAACATTCACTTAGGATAAAAGCATCTAATTTTTATATTTTAATATATGACAGATCTGAAAAGGTGGAGCCTAGTTACAGTTTTGTCCTTTTATATACTCTTACGTTCTTTTCTTTTACAGATCAGAATTTGGCAAAGCAGTATGTAGATTCTAGAGGCAGAATGGTTACAGCTGTGATAGTCTGGCAAGATCAGTAGGTAAAGTAATGACATAAAAGTTATAAACTTAAAGTGTATAGTATTATAAAACTATATAAGAATGAAAGTTATATAAAATAAAAGTAATAACTTTTATCTTACTATTTTACCTATAAATCTTGCCTTGTCTAACTAAGAAGGCATCCTGTCTTCTGTAAAATTTATAGTATCTTCTAACTTGAGACTTCGAAATAAATGTTCGCTGCTCTATGTGATGCAAGAAGTCAGTGTCTTTATCTGATGTAGCATTTACATGCATTTCTGTACTAGAAATGGAGAGTATTAGAAAAATACTCAGTGACACATTCAGTATGTGTATCAGATAAATTGAATAATAATCTACTTACATGATTATTTCCTGATTGTTTCCTAATGTTCAGTTTTTACAAAAATATAGTATGCTGTCTAATAATTCTCCCCTCATGTTTCTATTAAAAATATCTTAAAATTACAAGAATAGAAAGATATCTTTAATTCTCTCCTTGTTTGCGCAAGTGGATGTTTTTGTAACTTGTAATAAGATGTTGTAAAAGGTCTTAAGGCACTTAACTGCATTCATTTAATTTTTAAAGGTGGCTGGTGGAACTGTTTCACATCAGGTCAGCTTCTCCTATTTCAATGCATTTAATGCCCTTTTGAATAACATGGATCTTGTTAGGAAGATATACAGTAACATAGCAGGTACAAGAAAAGATGTTGAAGTCACAAAAGGTAAAGTATATTTCTTACATTTTATAAATTTTTTTAGTTCTGTCTAGTTTGTAATCTGCTGTTGCATATGGGTTAAGGCAAGTCAGAAGCTGCAACAGTATGCGAGATTAGGGCAACTGTGAAAGTGTTGAAAGGGTGATTTTCATTCTCACAAGTTAGTAATCATTTTCAGCTAGCACATTAAGGAGAAGAGTCGAGGTTCTGGCAGGAGCCGTGTTGGCCTTACTGCTTTGAATGGGTAACTCCAAGTCAGTATATTATTGAGGATTTTACCACTCCTTGAAAGGGATGCATGGTTGCTTAGAGATAGAAAGTTCCTAGGGAATGTGATAGAGCGGGTTAAGTTTGAAAATCCATCATCAGTAAATCTCTGTCTTGTTTTAGCTCTACTTACTTTATCTGTGATTAAATATTTTTTAGAAAAATGGTAATAATTTATAACTTCTTATGCTTACTTGCCTGAGTGGTTTTATATATAGTCTATGTCTGTTAGGATGTAGCTAATCACTATGCATATGAAAGGTTGCCGTATTTCAGCCTTGCTGCAGGCATGAGTGGATTGCTTTTGTAGTCATTTTGTGACAGATTTTATCACCGATTTTATTACCTATATGGATGGGACCAGCCACGCCTATGTGTGGTAAAAAGCATGCCAAGTTCCTTTCTTCTTCTTCTTTGTTCGGCTTATGTTCATATATTCTGCATATCTTTGTCCCTTAAGGAGAGCATAAAGTGCCTGTCCTTGTCCTCCAGATTGTGCTAACAAATTGTCTAGCAATTTTTTTTGGTGCAGATGCATAAATATGTCTTGCTTGGATTTGTGTTGTGACAAAAAGCTACTGTGTTTTCACTGCTCAGCCTTGTTTATTGTGGTTTGCCAATTATGTCGTGAACATGTCATGTAATTTGGCTAGACGAGTACCTAAGCCTGGGGTCACTCACGAGCTAGCAGAGAAAGAAATGCGGACGTGATGGCAAGAGGAGTCCGTTGTCCTTAAAGCTGTGAATAATGGACCATTGTTCTGTTCAGTTCTGTTTTGCAGAACTTCAGACACAAGAATCACAAATTGTGCATGTGGTTTTGTTAAGCTTGCTAATATGAGGATTTTTGTTGACTTTGATGAATTCTTACCGTAAATCAGAGTTGCGGAGTCAGACTTGCTCTCTGTTGAAAAGGCCTGTTTCAAGATAGATGTTCTCCTAAAGATATCTTTTCCCTTTGCATTATGGATTTTGCTTCTTGGTTATAGATTTCATTTTTATGATATTGAAGTGATTTGTGAGCGTTTAAAGAGGAAATTTGACAAATAACACGATTGCTTTATTTCTATTTCCCTTTTAAATCCAGAGGAATTTACCCACTCTGCAATCCGATTTGGACAAGTTACACCACTGGAAATAGATATTTTGTACCAGCTTGCAGATTTATACAGTGTTACTGGGTAACATAATATTTTAATCATTTAAAAATAATTATTTTGCTGTTTCCTGTGTGAAAACTACTAATTTTCATCTTAATTTTAACAAGTTGTGTGTTCCATTGTATTTCGATACAGTAATTTATTCAATGTAAACTGACTTTGGTGTATGCGTGGGTTTTGTAAGTGAATTGTGTGCAATTAAGCACAGTTATTCATTGTCATATTATGGGTATACATATAAAATAGCAAAATACATTACAGGAGTCCCAAAAGGCTACAATACACTGATACTATTAACTTTAAGTATTGATGATGTTTTTCATGGGTCTTCAACACATGTGAAATCTTAGGTAGGAATACCTAGAAATAGTTTCATTTGTGTATTCTATCCCTTATTGCTAGTAATCAAGAACTTGCTTCTGAATAATCCCAGCTCTGCTTATCTCCACTTGCGAGGTACGAGAATGCCCTTCTAACTCCAAGCATTCTTTATTGCAGTGTCGCAGACTTCTTAGATGTGCACTCAAATATGACAGGTGGTTTTTTTTTAAACTTAGGATGTATTCTGTGAGGTGTGGCCAGGAATACTGTATTGATTATCTTTGATGTTTTATCTAACTAATTTACTTTTCTCTGCCTTGTGTAAAGGCGCTTAACTTTGGCAGATATTGAGAGAATAGCACCGCTGGCTGAAGGTGCATTACCTTACAACTTGGCAGAACTCCAGAGGCAGGTAGGGAGAAGAAGAATAAAATTGTTGAAGTGAATGTTTATATGTAATTGCATATGAAAAATAAGAATAATACACTTTAAACAGATTCCTAACAAGTGAAACGTGCTGTGTGTGTTGCTGTAAGGATAGAAATGGGGCAGACTGTTGAGTATATGTCTAAACAAAATATTAGATGTCATATTGAAGGATGGCCTGTTTAGATATGAGTATGTATAAATACTTGGATTCCTTACTGTGAATATGTTTGTTCCCACCTGAAAAGGCCTTTCACTTCACTAAGTAATCTAATGCTGTAATTAGAAGATTATTTTTGGATAGTAAAAAATATGAGTATTAAATTGAAGGCTTGTAAATGTGTTCTTTTTTTGAGAAATTTAATTAAATGATTGACTTAGCCATTTATCTGAAATGATCATTGAATTTTACTGTACTTGTTGGCTATGTGACCTAGACAGTAAAAGGGGAATACAGATTTATTGGAACTGATTAAAAGGGTAGAATTAGAAGATGAAAAATATCGGAGTAGAATATTGATCGTCTGTTTCACTAGACCTTTGCATTCATATTTGCTAGTTTTGCTATTATCATAGTTTCCTTATTAAACTTACATGTGTGTAGTACAGCAGTAGGATTTTCAGCATAAATTGTTTCTTACTTCGATGGCTCTTTTTACAACTGTGGGAACTGAAGATTTAGGACCAAACATTATGCAGGTGTTTAGCTTATGTTTAGACTTTTCACCACAGTCACTGGGTGCCATACTGATCACCTTCAAGGGAATAGCTTTCAAGTTTATGTTAAAAATAAATCTAAATTTTGAGGGCTTATTTTCACTGGATTTTTTGTTCAACATGTAATCTGAGAGGTTTTCTTTTGCAAGCAGAGCTGTCTAATACTAGTTAAGTTGTGAATTAAGTTTTATCTTACCTTTCATCTAAGGTTGCATCTGAAGTATTGCCGATATTGAAGCTTGCAACATAAAGGGACATCTGCTGTGCTGCTAATGGAAATATTCTATTCCATTCCATTCCATTCCAGATATATTCTAGGGAAATCCTTTTTCTGGAGCATTTTGTAGGTGACTGCTCTCACGAGAGTAATTCAGGGGGAATTAACTCAACTGTTGATAATGTAAAGATAATAATGCAGTCAAGAAAATCCTTGAAATGGTTACACAGCAGATTCAGAAAGGGAGACGTACATATGTGGTGAATTACATGATTGCATAATCATAAAATACATAGGCCGATTGCACACTGGTGTTTATTATGCAAAACAAAAAAAATACAATCTGATCTTAAAAGTGTCTGATACACAATCTTTTCTTTATTTTTACTGTTAGAACATTGTGAGAAATTTCAGTTCCACACAGCTGTACGTTCTCGTTTAAGCTTTACAAGAAAATACAATAGTGTTCATCTGAACCAGTGCATTTTGCTCCAAGGATGTCTCCACATCCCCTTTCTCTCTGTAATACACAAAGGGAAGTCGGATATCTATTAAGATCTTATATGAGCATATCCCATAGTGATGACTAAATACATCTTTGTGTACTCAGTAGATAAACAGAATTTTTTACCCTGAAGGTTCCCATTTGCTTACAATGTCTAAACAACTCCAGTTCTCTCTCCTGCAGCCTGTATTAAGAGTTTATGGGGTGCCTGTCAAGACATCTGAAGGCTCTGACTCCCAGGTGGGCACAGCCAGGCTCAGGCTGGGTTTTGCTCACAGCTGCCCACACCTTGCTGGGTACGCAGACAGCTGAGCTTCTTAGGAATCAGCTGCTGGAGGGACACGTCTTGCAGCTCAGCATTTCTGGCAATCTGTTGCTGGTGATGAGTTGCCTTAAAATGCTGCTCCTGAATTGCAGTGATTCAGCAACTGATTCCCAAGTAGCTCAGCCACCTGGGCTGTGGGGCAGGAGGATGTGCAGCTGACGGCGATGCCTTGGTCAGCCATTCCAAGCTACTTTACTGTCTCCCATCAAGTGAAATTCAGATTCTCTACCCTGGTGATGCCAGTGACAGACAGTGCTGCTGCAGGGTGGTCTGAGCTAAAGCGGCTGTGCACTGATAAAATCACCCGCTCGCCACCTGAATGTCCTGTGTTTGCCAGTGGAGGAAGGGTCCCAGGATTCTGCCTGAAAGTGAAAGCTTGTGTTTGTAAAGCCTTGTATTTCTCAGCTCACTTTTCGTGCATATTGCAAAGAGGTTCCTTTAAGCAGTTGCATCCACTACAAAACCTAGGATATGTATCTGTGACAGGATAATCTTGATTTAGTTCAACTGCTATAGTTGAAGAATTGTCCTGTATGGAATTTAGCAAGTCTTCCATATGTGGGACTTTGAGTGTATTTTGGTTACTGTTATTACAGGTAGATTTGATTGTTCAGTTCTCTTTCAAACAAATTGGTCTGAAACGCAGTGTCTGGTCTGTTCTTAGTGTTACTGCTCTGTTGTCTTTAGGCAATTAGACGTATCCGAGCCAACGAAATAAGTGTCCTAAACCTACTTAGTGGTAACAGTCTTCCTATGTGTTCCTGCTGACAATAATGATGGAATGGATTGTCGCAGAAATGTGTATAAACGTTTATCCAGACTAATGAGAAATATCTTTGATGAAGTTTTGTGATGACATTCCTAACTGCCAGCTTTGGTTTTAATCAGTGCCTTTGTGGCACTCACCCTTCTGAGCAGACAAAATACTAACTTGTTTTATTTTACTCTTCAGAATTACTTTTGTAGCTTGGCACTGTTATAAAATGAGCTTACTGATAAAAGTTTCACTTATCACTAGAACAGAATATACTTCTTCCACACTCTTGGAGTAATACATTATATTTTCATCCTGTTCTACATTCTGTGTTAAGAAAGGACAGCAGAAGGCAAAGTAATTTCATTTTCTTTGCTTTATAAGGACAGTCTTTTACTAGACCTTATGGTAAGTGAACCTTATATTACCTTATTTAACTGTATTGACAAAATGAAAGATATCCCTTCATGGAAGAGAGAATATCATCCCAGTGAGGTCCAGCTGTCCCTGGAAAATGAAAACAAGTCTGTAATCACTTTTATGTCATTTAAAAATTCCTTTTTAGAGGAAAATCTAAATTTTTACATAAAGTCACTCTATGTGGATTTGGTGGAAATGGAAATTAGCCTGCTTTCAACCATGTTTACTTCATTGTCAATTTTTTCATTGTGTAAGATTTTCTTAAAGCCTAGCAGCTGAATATCCTATGGCAGGATGACAGCTACAGTAATTTTCTGTTTATAAATATTCATGATTTGAAAGCTATAGCATTAATTACATTCATTTACATATCCATCTGAACACACAAGTAAACTGCAAACTTTGTGAACACTTATTTAATAATGTAAAAGTGACATTTCCTTCAGAAGGAATTTGATTTTTAACATCCAGTGACATATTCGTTAAGATTAATTAATGTCTGGATGTAGTGATTGGATTTTGATGAAAACTGTGTAGATCTTAGAAGAAAAAGGATAACCTTAAAACAGCTAAAAGGAAGCAGGTGTGCTAAACTAGGAGAAACTTCTTGCAGAATGAAGAACCAGTCCTGCTTCTAAGCCTTTTGGGTATTCTTATTGCACCTGTCTTTTATCTACATGAATCAAAAGACATATCTCTGTAATTTAGAATTTGTTTTTGTGGTTATTTTGGTTTTATTGTGATTTTTTTTTAGATAGGAAAATTTAGTGTTTTGAGAATAGCAAGGACCTTCTTCAGATTTATTGCTTGCATTTGCTTGTAAAGGCAATACACTTGATATAAGCTTTTTTTATGCTGGTCCACATGTGCAGTTTATAATTTTGGTGCTACTTAGAATTTCTCTGTTCTTCTCTGTTGAGCTGTGTTGTTGGGGGAGGGATATGTCTTGTGGAAGGAAGTGGTGGTAGCTGTATCTTTTTCCTCTGTGGAAAAACTGTATAAAATACAATTAATGTTTTTTTACAGGTAATGATCCTGTCTTAATCTCATAGGCTTTTGTCCTACATTGTGTACGTACAGTGTAACATTATACAATAAAGGCAGGTTTTTGCCCATCCCATGTCATACCAGTCCAAGCAGAGTAGTTTACACTGAGGTACATGCTGTCTTTCTGTGGGTACTCCACTTTTCAGAGCTTCAATAAGCTGAACGTAACTTTGTTAAGTAGCCTTGGTGAGTTACCTGTGAAATGTGCATGTGATAATCTTCCTGGAGAATTCATAATGTGTGTCAGAGTGAAGCCTCCTGTAGCAGTCTGAGGTCTGTATATGTTCCAGCTGTGCTGTCAGGAGCACATCTGCTAGCAATGCAGGGTGCTTTTAAGAAAAAAGGTTTGTGTTTGGGAGATGGACTTTAGTATGTGCTTTAATATGGAATTTAAAAGTTAATGTCTTGGCCACTTACATAACCCAGACAAGTTATACTGCATAATATAAATTCTTCTCTAATCCCTTTGTTTATGTTTGGAAGAAAACTTGGCCCATCTTGCATACTTTATAGTGCAATTTTGTGAACACTTAACATCTTGTTTGTCAGTTACCTTGTTTCTAATCTAATATAATAATATGATTATGAGTGTCTGCAAATATTTCTGTGCAGACTTGTATTTATGTAGAGCACTAACACACTTATAGTAGTGTATGTGATTGAAGGGAGTGAGGTCATCATTGTAGCTGTAAATTACCAACTGCCTGAAAAAGTCTTGTGGAGAATACTTTGGGGAATAATTGACTTTTTTGCTTGTTTTGAAGACATGAAATGTCATGTTTATGCTATGTATTAATGTATATGTAATCTTAACATATATCCCATGCTGATAGATACTGTCTGTGAGATACTGAATTCCTTTTCAGATACTGAATTTTATTTGAGCCAGAAAGAGGTTCCATGCCTTACAAATTCAAAGGCAACAGAATGGAAAGTAGCAAAGTTGATTTGAGTTTCTGTCTACTTTTTCTTGACCATAATGGTTTCAGTTATACCAGGAATATGTAAGGAAGAATATTTTCAAAAACAAGGTGTTTGAAAAATGTGCTTCATTCATTAGGCATAATGTAAATTATACAGTAATTTCTTTATTTTTTCCTCCTTAACATAAAGTTACCATTTTTAATCAGATTCTTTCTATAATGTTATAAAAGCCAATTCACAGACATGTTTTCCCATGCAGATTTTCAGGCTTTTTTTTTTCTCCCCCCTCACACAGCAATCTTTTGGAGAGCTAGGCAGGCCTATCTGGCTCCAGGTAGCCGAGTCAGCTTACAGGTTCACTTTGGGCTCAATTGCTGGAGGTGAGTAATATTTCTGGTTTCTGTTTGTAAGTTTGGGTTAGTTTAACACTCTCTTGCCAGACTACTTGGTCTCATCTAAGATCCGTTTCTTGGTTGCACACCTGAAGCATGGGAGGGTGGGTGGAAACATTTTTGGTTGTGCCATTCCCTTTCTTCCCTTATTGCTTCTGTTCTGGTGTCCCTCCACAGTCCTCTGAAACTCTACACCAGTAATGAATTTCCTTACTGGTAATGCAGGTTAGTTTTCTTTGTTCCACACACCTTGTTTTATGTAATAGTGTAATCTGTTCTCCCTGAGGCTTTTTTCTAGACTTCCAGTATTGTCCTTTCTTACTTCCAATGTATCGGAGATCTTACCAGCTTATATACTCTTTGTGTCTAAATAAATGTTGTAGAAAATCATCATCATAATTATGCTATGCCAACAATGCAGTTGCAGAAATAATACTTCAGATGCTTTCTTACAGCTGTTGGTGCCACTGCGGTATATCCCATAGACCTGGTGAAAACTCGTATGCAGAATCAGCGCTCCTCTGGCTCAGTCGTAGGAGAGTTGATGTATAAAAGCAGCTTTGACTGCTTTAAAAAGGTTTTGCGTTTTGAAGGATTTTTTGGTCTTTACAGAGGTAAGTCAATAAAAAAAAATATATGTCAATATCAAGTTGGGGATTTTCTGCCCTTTTTTTTTTTTAATACCTCAACAGCTGGTTTCTTATGGGAAAACCAGGAAACTTGGTATCATGTACAATTTTGCTTGTGTTTCGTAGAGCTTAGTGTTTACCTTCCCTTGAGCACTGTTCATCATAAACAATTGCTGGGAAAAACTGGGCATTTTTTTGTTGTTACTGATTTCTCCTTGCTGCTTAGGTTGTTTGAAGTCCTAATTTCTGGGATGTGCATGTTGTGGACATGATTATTATCTCACAAACTGAGGATTGTAACTTTTGGCTGGGGGCAAACCTCAGGGGCAGATTAGCATCTGAGAAATAAGGATTGGTTTTACTGCAAATATTTTTTTGTTAAAAGATGAACACAGTAATTTTGAAATGTATCTGTTAAACTGGATGCCAGATCTTATGCCGTATACTTTTGCAGGTAGTGGGACTTGTTTTATGATTTTATCCTGTGAACAAGAGATTGTATCCTGCTGTTTTATTACATCGCTTCATACTTTAAAATATCAACAGTGAAACTCACATAAGTTGTAGTTTAAAAAAAAGAAAAAAAACTCATCTAAAATATAGATTAAGAATTCAAGACAATTTTTTAATCAATTTTATTAGACTGAAAGCTATCTCATACCTTGTTTTAGTTTTGGAGAAAATTCTGAAAGGGTTTTTAACACAACAGTAAGGTGACTTACATAGAGGGTAGATGCTAGCCAGTCCTCCGAAATGGATATTTAGTTGAATTCTCTGCTTTTAATTGACATTTCACATAACTTAATGAAGTGCACAATTTTTGTAAGGATCAGTAAGGTATTTATTGTGGCACACATTTTTTTTTTTTAGTTGGAGCCAAGTGACTCACTCCCGTGATGGCCACAGCCTTTGTTCCTGCTTTGCAGTGTGTTCTGGCAGTGAAGACACTGGGCAGTGTCCTTTAAGGACATTTTCTGAGAAGTTTTTGCATGTGAAAGTCTGTGGATTCTGGCTAAAGTGTTTCTTGTAGTCTTGCAAGATTTTGCTATGCAAGTGAGTAGAGGGAGGAATAGGTCAGTGAAGATACTAATGAAATACCTGTAATCTCCATAAACTGTCTCACTGGTAAATTATTTTCCTTTTTTGTTGCTAAATCTTTCACAAAAGCAAATATTCATACATTTATGAGACTGTTTCTCCAGTGCTGTTCTACAGTACTTTTTTCTGTCTCTCCCCCCCCCCCCCCCGGCTT